AGTGCTGGCATGGGTCTCCACATGGCTCCTCCATCTCCAGGGCATTGGCTCCATCAGTGTAGCTCCATGTAATTGTCAACAGGATCCTGTCACAGGGAGACAAAGCAGAGTGTGGGTCTGGCCTCCATTGAGTTATTTATCTCTGTAGGGCCTCAAATGAGGTCATCAAGTGGTGACCTGATTGACAGGCTAGACTCCACCCCTTCACTCTTAATAGTCTTAAGTTGAAACCAGATAATGTAACTACCACAAGGTCTTTGTACATATATTTATATGGGAAGTATCAAGGTAGCAGATGCACATTGGGCTTCTTCTGAAGTCCTCCCTCAACACAAGAACACTGTTCTAACAACTTGGCATTCTGTAATGCTCACTCTCCCAGCACGATTGCTGAAGACAAAATGGGTGTATAAGCAAATGTAATAAAGAAAGCTGATGGTGCCTGGCTATCAAACGATATAATGTCTGGGGTCTTAAAGGATTGTAGATAAACAAGCAGCCGTCTAGCTGAGAAGCAACAAAGCCCACATGGAGGAAGCACACCAGCCTGTAGGATCATGAGGTGTTGATGGGATCAGGTATCAGGCATCAGAGACGAGAACAAAAAATCATATTAACATGAATGAGGGGGAGCGTGGAGTAGAGACCCAAAGCCCTTCTGTAGACAATTGGACATAACCTTAGAAAAGAGTCACAAGGAAGAGACGAGCCAGTCTGGTGCAGTATAGCACCGACGAAACATACAACTTTCCTCTAGTTCTTTAATGCTTCCCCCCTCCCCCACTATCATGAATCCAATTCTACCTTACAAATCTGGCTACACCACAGCATGTACACTGGTACAGATAAGAGCTTGAGACACAGGGAATCCAGGACAGATACCCCCCTCAGGACCAATAATGAGAGTAGCAATACGAGGAGGGGAAGGGGAAGGTAGGGAGAGAAAAGGGGAACTGGTCACAATGATCTACATATAACTCCCTCCCAAGGGGTTCAGACAAGAGAAAAGTGGGTGAAGGGAGACTGCGCTCAGTGTAAGACATGAAAAAAAATTATAAATTATCAAGGGTTCATGAGAGAGGGAGAGCAGGGGAGGGGGGGGATGAGCTGGTACCAAGGGGTCAAGTAGAAAGAAAATATTTTGAGAATGACGATGGCAACAAATGTACAAATGGGCTTGACACAATGGATGGATCTATGGATTGTGATAAGAGCTGCACGAGCCTCTAATAAAATGATTTATAAAAAAGTAAACAAAAAATTACAAGAGGCACAGGACTGCAAGGGAAGCTGATGAGTGTTTAAAGAGCTTAGTGGGTCCACCCAGAAATCACTACCAGGTATAACACTTTTTAAATGGACAGACATGTTTCTAATTCCAAAGAATCAAATAAAATTAAACTTTGATAAAAAACAAAACAAGGCCAAAATGAATACCAACAAAATCAAGCCAACAAAAATAAATAAAAGACTCCTGTGCCTTTACTAGTTAGAGCTCCAGAGAGAGCCTCAAGTGTGTCGTCGAATGGCTTCTGACTCTGCGTGGGCCAGTGGGACAGAGTAACACTGCCGCACTGGGGTTCCCAGCCTGCCATCTTGAGAGAAGCAGATGGTCAGATCTTCGCTTCCATGGAGCTGCTCACTTTTGGGTTAGCAGTTGCTTGAGCGACCATTGTGCCACCAGGGCTCCTTGGTGTGAAAGGTGTGTGTGTGTGTGTGACATGTCAGGCTCCCCTGGTCAGAGACTGGCAGGTTCTCAGGGAACATAGGGCCCAATGCCCAGGTGGTACATGGTACACACAAGGAAGATGAGGAGTAGGTCCAGGGCACCTCCAGTTAGTGTGATGTTGGGAACCTAGATGATGCAGGAACACCTCAACCTTGATGGCCATTTTTTTATGCTTACTATTTTAAAAAATCATTTTATTGGAGGCTCTTAGAGCTCTTGTAACATTCCACACATCAATTGTATCAAGCATATTTGTACATATGTTGCCATCATCGTTTTCTAAACATTTACTTTCTATTTGAGCCCTTGGTTATGTTTACTATTTCTATTGCTCTTACGGGATAGCAGTTCATTCCTAGCATAACCCTACCCTACTGAGCAGTGTCAGCTCCAAACTAGTTACCATTGAGTGCCTTGGGATTGGTCTCTCTCCTTGACACTGTGTGATCAGATCTGGTGGATGCCCCAACCTTGGGGAACCCCAATTGCACTTTCTCTTCCTTCATTGTACAGATGCTTGCAGTGCAGGGAATGACTTAATACAGCCCCTCTAGCCATTGTCCAGGAGCCCTGGTGGTGTAGTGGATTACTCATTGGTCAGCCAAGTGCCATGCCAGGTCAGCAGTTTGAAACCACCCTCTGCTCCTTGGGAGAAAGAAGAGGCTTTTTACTCCCATAGAGATTGACCTCCTTGGAAACCCAGAGGGACAGTTCTCCTCCTTCCTATAGGGCCACTATGAGTCAAATCGACTGATGGCAATGAGTTTGAATTTGATTTGGCCATTGTCTTGGTAATTGCCACCAAATGACTGGGTGGAACTAATGCAAATAGGGGACTTGTGGTATCAGGGATTGGCCAGTTCATTGATGTTGTGAGGTGAGAGCAAGTGGGTTCTGACCTATAACGACCTTGTCCACAAAAGTAGGAAACACTGCCTGGTCTTGTGCCACCCTCAGAACTGTCCCGATGCTTGATCCCATTGTTGCAGTCACTGTGTCAATCCACATTATCAAGGGTCTTCCTCTTTTGTTGCTTCTCTACTTTACCAAGCATGATAAGCATGATGTCCTCCTCCAGACATGCTGACAACATGTCCAAAGTACATGAGACAAAGTCTCATCACCTTTGCTCCTAAGGAGCATTCTGGCTGTACTTCTTCCAAAACAGATTTATTTGGTCTTTTGGCAGTCTTTGGTCTTCCAGTACTCTTGGTCAGCACCATAATTTTCCAGCACTACAATATGTGTGTGGAAGTTGGACATTGAATTAGGAAGAACAAAGAAGAATTGCCATGAGTCCTGTTGGTGTAGTGGTTGCATGTTGACCTTCAATCCTCAAGACCTGAAGTTCAAAGCCATCAGTGGCTCTGAGGGAAGAAGACAGGGCTTTCACTCCTGTAAACTGTTACAGTCTGGGCAATGCACAAGGGCCGGTCTACCTTGTCCTATAGGTCCCTATGAGTTGGCATTGACTGGATGGCAGTGAAGAATTGATGCATTTGAATGTCGGTGCTGGTGAATATGCAAATAAGGTATTTGTGACCCCAGAGATTGAAACTGCTGGCTATAGGTACAAAAAGGGTACATGGCATTCTTGTGGGGGTGGGTCCATACAAAGAAGGTGTGTAGAACCCTTGAGTGTGGATTGGTCAGTTTTCCCAACGTTTAGGCTTAAAGGGAGACAGGAACAGAGACCTGAGCATATAAACCAGTGGGAGGTGGTGGGTGGCAGTAGCAAGAGTGACAGTGGTGTGGCATGAGACAGCAGGAACCAGGAGACCTGCCTGTCATGGGCCTTGCCAACTCACAGATTCCAGAAGGCCCTACACAAGGCCCAGCAGCAGAAACACAGTAGCAGCTTTCCTGCTTGAACACTGTATTCTGAGTTGTCCCCATAACTTTTAAATGGACCCTGAGCCCCATAACTGTGAGTGAGCGCTGAGTTGCCATTGCAGCAGCTCCTGAAACCCAGCAGAGAATTAGAGAGCACCATGGGAGGGGGCAGTTGATGTCAGAATTGGCTGATATTGATGTTGATTTTCTCAGTGTATATCATGAACTTAACAAAAAAACACCACAAAACCAAACCCACTGCCATCAAGCCAACGCCAGTCATTACAAATCTCCATAGGGTTTCTGAGGTTATACATCTTTGCAGGAGGATAGCCTATGCTTTCTTCTGCAGTTGCTGGGTTTGGACCCCTGACCTTGCATATATGGCAGCCATCAGAGAACAGTCTCTGCTAAACCATTTGGACAATGCTACAGTGTCCCTGAAGAACAGAAGGTACAAGGATAATGCCGGACTATGCCATGTGCGGTACTTGTCCACTAACTGGGAGAAGTGTTGACTTCCCAGCGAGCTGGCAGTGCCCTGCCTTGGCTTTTGCAGCCCCAGGGTTAGGGCTCAAGGATGAAGTCACAGGAGAATGATTTCCGTTTCATTGCCAGGTGTCCTGCTAGGGCTGGGAGCAGGGATGGGGCAGGAGCCAGTTGGGGGCTCCCTGGCGGGTCTCTGAGTGTTGATCACCAGAAGGCAAATGAGGGGGCATTGGGGGGACATGGCAGGCGGTGCCGCATAATGGTGGCCCGGCTCCGCCACTCTGGAGGGCAGAGGTGCTCCCTTTGTCTTCAAAAGCTGTAGCAGGGCCCTTTCTAGGCACGTCCTCGCCGGCTGCTGCGGCAGGTTCGGCTTGGCATCTGGGGAAGCCCTCCTCTAGCGGGCTTTCTGGTGAAGGGACTTCGCCTCAGTCACGCATTTAAAGTGCTTTGCGCTCAGCAAACGCCACCTTGTGTTCTGGACGCTCCCCTCTTGGCCAGCAGACGTGGGGGTGGCTGTCCCTAGCCAGCCTGGATGCCCTCTGCCGCCGCGCGACGGCTTCCTGTCTCAGAGACTAACCTTAGACCGGATCCCCATTCACTTAGTCCAAGGTCACGGCTGGCCAGGCAGCTGGGCAGGGCCTGCTCAGCCGCTTGCAGGGCGCTACAGCCCCGCCGGATTCCCAGGGCGCGGCCAAGCCCAGCCACTAGCCTATTTCTTCGCATTGGCCAGGGATCTCCCAGACCGCCCACTCTGTCCGCAGACTGCCATCCTGCCCCGCCCCGCCCTGCCAGATGGTCGCCCCGCCCCTGAGACCACCTGCCCCGCCCAGGACTCTGCGGCTCGCCCCGCCCCTCGTGGCCTCGCCCCCAATTGGTGCAGCCCTGGTGGCCAACAGCGGAGCACGCTGTGCGCAAGGCCGGGGCTGCAAGGCTCCGCCCCGGCTCCTCCCTGACCCGGCCTCCCGGGTGCCCCGCGCTCACTGCCACCGGGGTCCTCCGCCCGCTCCCAGCCATGGCGGCCTGCCGCTCGGCGTTCCTGGTGGGCCTCGCTTTCTCCTTGGCCACCCTGGCCCAGAGAGGTAAGGCGAAGGGCACAGGGACCCGCCGGGCGTGAGCTGCCTGCCCACGGCCACAGCCTGCAGCCAAGCGATGGTGGGCGAGGTGGCTGAGGGCAGCGGCCCGGCCCGACCCCCGGGGACCCCGCCGCATTGACCTCGCTGCGGCCTGAGATGGCCAGAGCAGGCACGGGCCCTAGAAGCAGCAGGATGATTTTTCCCCCTCCCCAAAAGATCTTGAGTTAGCTGGTTGCGCCGAGACCACAGCTGACCCGGGAGAGTCCAGAAGTCTAGGGGCGCACCCTTCCCCCTAAAGATCGAGGCGGCTGGGGCTCCGGTGGTGCCCATGTAGGGTTCTGAGCCACGGAGAAGGGCAACGATTCCCCTGAATCAAGTGGCTCAACCCTGGCAACTCCAGGTGCGGACCTGGACCAGTCGCCAGGAGGGCGTTTCAGGGAGCTGGTTAGCTAGCAGCATCCGGGCCCCACCTTGAACCAGACAGATTCTGCACTGTGCAGGCCTCTCCTGGGAAGCGGCTGCTGCCTTCAATGTAGAGAAGCCTTTTCTTAGAAGAAAGGCAGCCTGCACTTAAAAATAGGATCTTAAAAGGGTACCAACGGAAGCTTCTTGACACTTATTTATATCCCATCTGCACAGCAGCAAAAGGTCTTAAAGAAAACATTGCCATTGAGCCCAGAATTGTGCTCTCAGCTTCCTGGCAACCAGGGCAAGCACAGCTGGAGACAAAATAGGCCCTCAGCAAAAAACAAACAAACAAACAACCACCACCACCAAACAAACCCCTTGTCCTAGCCCTGAGTACCAGCAAGGGTCTGCTCATCATCAGTTGTTCCGATGATGCCGAGATGCTTTTCAGGAGGTCAGCTCTGAAGTTGCCCTGCCGCTGTCATGATAGATGTCCTGTGTCGTCAGGGCCTGAGGAGAAGGAAAGCAAGCGGAGGGGGACAAAGAGTTGTTGAATTTTCTCCCTTTCCTGGTTGGGGCTTTATTGCCATTTGATTGTGACGCCTCTATGGGAAAGCTCTAAGTCATTTGGTTGACTTGCATCTGACACACGGGAACATTGGCAAGTTCGAACAAAGGTACTCCTTCCAGGCTACCTTCTGCGTTTCTTCAAGATGGGGTGCCTGCTCAGGAGGTCTCAGGTTGCTTCCTGTCACATGTTACACTAGTTGATTTGGGGGAGTGCGTCCAGAGTCAGGGCAGCCATTTGAGGGAGGCGTGCTGAAGCATTTCTGAGAAAGTGAGTCGTGTGAACAGCTCGTTGTTGTCTCGTGCCAAAGAAAGCACAAAGGTCTCCTGAGGGGACCAGGTATGTGCCACACTGGAGTCTGCAGCCCTGCCATCATTTTCCGCCTGCCGAGGTGCCTTTGCGCCCATTCTTCCCCAGGCCCCCGTCGATACTGCGATACCGCAGGGTAGGCCTTAGCCCGCATTATGGCTTAGAGGCTGTGGTCACAGGGCTAGGGAGAGGTAGCAGTGGGGTGCCACCCCCGTCAAGTATTCTGTGTTTGCTGTTTTCATGAAGAAAGCTGAACCCAGGGTCTTTGGACCAAGAGGAGATCATGCCAAATCTGCTTTTTGCCTTAGTGGTCTCCATGGGGGGCTCGAACAGTGGCGCGCTCAGAGTTGCTGTGTTGAAATGAACAAACAGGGCATACGGGTCCCTGGGGTGGTGGCTTGGGAGGGGACAGCTTAGGGTATGAAGGAGGACATCAAAGGAAGCATGCTGTTCGAGAGACAAGCTACAAGCTACTGGCTCCCTGGAGCTTCCAGGGCAGTTAACGAGTCCTTCCTGTTCTAATTAGGAGTGGGGTTCTAGCCTACAGAGGAGCCCTAGTGGCATAGTGGTTAGGCATTGGGCTGCATTTCACCAATGTCCGCAGTTCGAAACTCTGAGCTGCTCCTCGGGAGAAAGACAGGGCTTTCTAGTCCCAGAAAGAGTTACAGTCTCAGAAACTGACTGGGGAAGGTCTGCCCTGTCCTATAGGGTTGCTAGGAGTCGACATCCACTCGATGGCAGTAAGTTTGGCATTTTGGTTCTAGACTACAGGACCCCTAGTGACTTAGTGCCCTATGCGTTGGGCCACTAACAGCAAGTTCAACAGGTTCTACCCAGCAGCCTCTTTGTGGGAAAAAGGTGGGGCTTTCTACTCCTGTAAAGAGGTAGAGACTCCGAAGTCCATAGGAGCAGTTGTACCCAGTCCTATAGAGCTGTTGTGAGCTGGAATTCACTTGAGAGCAGTGGTTTTGGGTTTTCGCACACCTGTGTATTCTCCGCAGCCTGCCTGCATCCAGGGAAATGGAAGCCGTTCTTTTGAGCAGCAGCAGGAATCTTGCTGGTGTGGGTGGTAACCCACAACTCAGGTGACAACAGAGGAAGCCCAGAGAGCTTTGGTAACTTGCCTGAGTTCACATGCCGTCTGTAGCAGAACTGGATTTAAACTCAGGTAGTTGTGCCCAGCTGAAACAAAGATCAAACACACAGACACCTACGGGGACTGGGCAAGTCTCAGCTAGAGACACTGCATAGGGAGACACTGCCTGCTCCTTTCAAGAGAGGATGCAGCCCATAGAAAGGCGGACAGGTGTAGGGGCAAGCCTGCCCAAGGCTGCTGTGGTCCCAGCAAGCCAGATAATAAATCTGTGCATCAGTTTCCTCACCTGGAAAATGGGGACAAGCACATAGCCACCTTATAGGCTTGTCATTAGCATTAAATGAGGACAAAAGTGGCAGGCTCTCTTTTCCAATTGATGATTCATAGCACCAAAGACATTCTAAGTTATGCTTACAACATTATAAAAGAGAAGCTAGGTACCAAAGCTCGCTTGTTGTCTAAGCCCTTGATGTGAACTGCCGGAAAGAGGCCAGCCCCCAGTGTTGGAAAGCAGGGACGCAGTTGCCAGGGCAGGGCTTCAGTCTTTGAGCCATCAGGAAAGACCCCTCCAGATTCATTCACTTGACCTGGGTCTTCCTTGTCCTGCTTGGTGCCCTCTCTTTCGCTGTGCTTGCTTCTTGGCGGGACGTGGCACACCCTGATCTACTCAGAGGCCCCGCTGCCTAGCAAATCCTGCTTGGCATCTAAAAGCTTAAAGTCAACCTAAACACGTGTCAGGAATGCCCGAAACACTTTTGGAGGATGGGAAGCTGTTGCCACACACCCCAGCTCCTCCCCTGGAACCTGTGAATATGTTACTGCCTTTGGCCAAAAGGAATTCAGATAGAATTAGAGTTGCTAACCAGTTGACTTTGAGATGAGGGTCTGGACAAGTGGCAGGGAGGCAGAAGATGCTGGCTTTGAAGGTAGAGGAAGGGCCCACGAGCCAGGGAATGCAGGCATGCTCTAACCATTGCGGTAGGGTTCATCCGACTCCTAGAGGCCAGGACAGAGTAAAACTACCCCATGTGGGGGTTTCCGACACTGTCATCTTTAAGGAAGCTGTTTGCCACATCTTTTTGCCTCAGGGCAGCTGGCTCAAACTAAGATCTCAAAGCTAGCCACCCAACACTTCAGTCATTGTGCCACCAGGACATCAACAGCTGGAAGGGACATGATTTCACGCTGGAGCCTGCAGCAGGGACCCACTACACTTATCACCCCGTGAGACCAACCTCAGACCTCTGCCCACTGGGGTTGTAACTTACCAGCCGATGGTATGTTCCAGCTGCAAAGTCTGTGACTCATGACAGCCCCGGGAGACAAAGGTAGAAGCCAGGGGTTGGGTTTGCCGTGCTGGCCACCTGATTCGTTCGCAAAAGCTAGTGTGTGACTTTCCTTCACACAGTTTCCACGTCTTCGCTGGAAATCCATCTCCTGCCTTCTCCAAGGTCAGGGTTCGAGTTGTGTAGGCAGCTGATTCTCCAAGCTGCCGGCTAGGTGCGGCAGTCTCAGCAGCAGATGAGGTTCGCAGCAGCCCGAGGGCCTTGGAGGTGGGGAAGGACAGCTGGCTTTCTGTTGCTCGGGTTTCATGAAACAACCTGACAAGGAAATTGGAGCCCGTGCTGCTGTCTTTGGTGAAGGGCTAGTAGCTAGGGGGTGGCCAGGAGCTGCATGCCCAAGCCCGATGGCCAGGCTTGGAGGACTTTGGATTCGTCTGTCACAAGTGCCCGTTCTCCCACCCTCAACTGTGCGCCGGCTTCCGTTAACTGTGCCTGTGAACTGATGGGAGGGCAGGTGGTCCTCATAAGAATGGTGGGCCTGGAACCCTACTCAGCCTTAACCAGTTCCCGCCTCTGTTTTCACCAGAGCCCCTTCCTGCGTGGAACCAAAGGGGCAACGCTCGGTCCTAGTTGAAAGGTTGGTGGTTAGACTGTGTTGGCACGGACTCGATGGCATTGAGAACAAGCAGTCGTGGCATAAGGTAGTCGAAGCAAAAGGCCAGTCCTTTGAGGCCATATGCCACTCTCTGGGACAAAGATGAGACAAGGCGCTGCCATGAAGCTGATACCCAGTCCTCCAGTGGTAATAGTAGCACTCAACATCTGCAGATGGATCCATCAGTAGACAAGCACGCTGAACAGGGCTGGGAAGGCCAGTAAGTCCACTCCCGAGTAGACATACCCAAACTTCGAGTCAGTGCCAACTCGTAGCCACCCTATAGAAAAGGGTAGGACCATCCCTGTGGGTTTCTGAGACTGTCACTCTTTACGGAAGCAGAAATCTTCGTCTTGCTCCCAGTGAGCAACTGGTGGTTTCAAACTGCTGACTTTGAGGTTACTAGCCCAATGCAAAAATGCCACCAAGGCTTCCTTGCGTGTATATAGGCTTAATAAAGTGTATTTCCTCACATGTATTTGCATGTGCTGCAGAAATATCCAAGAATCTAGTAGAGCATGCAGAGGGCCTCATCTACATGTGAAAGTTGGACAATGAATAAGGGAAACCAGAGAACAGATTCATTTGAGTGACAATGCTGTTAAAGAATAGTGGAAGTATGGTGGACTACCTTGAGAACAAGCCCACCTGTCTTGGAAGTGCAGGCAGAATGCTCCCTAGAGGTAA